TGGTGTGATCTCAGCTCACTGCAACCTCCATATCCTGGGTTCAAGTGGTTTTCCTGCCTCAGCCTGATGAGTAGCTGGGACTATAGGCACATGCCACCATGCCCAGCTAATTTTTATATTTTTTTCCTTTTTCTTTTTTCTTTTCTTTTTTTTTTTAGTAGAGACGGGGTTTCACCATGCTGGCCAGGCTGGTCTCAAACTCCTGACCTCAAGTGATCCACCCACCTTGGCCACCCAAAGTGCAGGCTAATAGGTGGTAACCACTGTGCTCAGCCCCAACACATGGTTTTTGAGTGACATATTCAAATCATAGCATGTGGCTAATGTTCTATTTCTAATGGACATATAAGAAAACATCTGCTGGGCACAGTGGCTCATGCCTGTAATCACAGTGCTTTGAGAGGCTGAGGTGGAAAGATTGGTTGATCCCAGAGTATGAGACCAGCCTGAGCAACAAAGTGAGACCCTCATCTCCTAAAAAAAAAAAAAAATTTTTTTTAATTAGCCAAGTGTGTGGCATGCACCTGTAGTCCCAGGTACTTGGGAAGCTGAGACAGGAGGACTGCTTAAGCCCAAGAGTTTGAGGTTGCAGTAAGCTTTGATTGCATTCACTCCACTGTAGCCTGGGTGACAGAACAAGACCCTGAGACAAAAAAAAAAAAAAAAAAAGAAAAAGAAAAAAAAAAGAAGGAGGGGAAGGGAGAAGGAAAGATTTCTTTCTTCTTCATCTCAAATTGTCAGTAGGCTACCCTTGAACAAACCTGAAGATAGTACTATTCTTTAAATAGTCTCATGTTCCAATTGACCTTTTAGGATTCAGAGAAAAAAAATTAATAAAAATTCTTAATATAACTTGTAAGTAATACAATGTCAGAAAAATGCAAAAATAATTCTGTAGAAAATGACATTAAAAAGTAAACAATAGAATACATAAATATTACACAAAAGTATTCCTTTACTTTTCAAAGATATGTGGCTATTTGCATAGGTTCAAAAAGAACACTTTCTCCTTCTTACCAGGCAATAATTAACAATTCACTTTTGCAACCATGACCAAGCCACACATCTCGTTAAAGTAGCTAAGGCAAGCCCATTATTAAGCAAAACAGTCCAAGCAACTTGGCTGAGGTGAACTGAATGGTTCTTGGTTCCTGACCTCAATATGTGGGCAATATCTTACACATAAAGTAATGACAACCTCTCAGACTTTAAAAAGCCTCCAGGCAAAGTAACTTCTATGTTTTTGTAACACATGGCCCTAGTTTTATTAACTAGACTTATAAAAGAAAAAAAACTTTGTATATTAAGCATAACCTTTTATCACACTCACATAATAAAACTAATCATCAAAGTAATGATACTAAATCAGAAAATCACAAAGCAAATTTGTGGTCAAATCCATGCTTTAGGAGGAAATTTGGAGGCAAAACTGACACCTTAACCAGAGGCCATGAAAGGTAAACAACGCACATCACATTTGGGTCAGAAAACAAAATACAACACTGCAGTAAAGGACCAACACAGCAAGTCTTGATTGTGTAAACTTTTCACATTCCAAAGAAATGTTTGTCCTGTGCCCAGATTCAAGAAGATAACCTCTAAGTCCTTGGACTACCCTGCCTGATTTAAGTGCTTTTATTTACCTGGGGGCCTTGGGCTATACCAGATAGTCTAAACTAACAATGTGATTAATGGTGGGGTCCTTAGGCCATGTAGTATCAGCTCCATCTTTGGAGGGGCTGAAAACTGAAGGTCAGCCACATGGTGTATCAGCCATGCTATGCCTACGAGACCAACCCTCAAGAAAAGATCTGGACACCAAGGCTTGGTGGAGCTTCCCTGGTTAGCAATTCTCCAAGAATGTTGTCACACATTGTTGCTGAATTATGGGCTGTCTACATGATTTCACAGGTGAAGGACAACTAAAAGCCTGTCCTTCTGCCTGGTGTCCCCCGGACTTTGCCCTATGTGCCTTTTTTCAGTGCTGATTTTAATCTATATTCTTTTGCTATAATATATGCCATAACCATAACTTAACAGCTCTTCTGAGTTCTGTGAGTCCCTCTAGTGAATCACTGAACCTGAAGGTGGTCTTGGGGACCACCTGAGATAAAACACTGAGATAAGATTAGCAACAAAAACAGTCACTATCCTATCTAGTTATCATTTCCTGTATAAAGGAAACCTTGAACCTTTCCTGTAAGTTACTCTCTAATAACTATATCCCTGGTCTTGGCAATGCTGATATCTAAAGAGACATCATGACCTCTGATATGATGATTATTTGAGGAAACTGTTTTCCACCATGAAAAGAACTAAACTTGGTGACTTTCGTAATTTTGTAGGTTTTTCATTTGATAAGCCTGTCTTCTAAAGTCTGTATTCCTTTGCAAGTTTTCTTTGCATATAAACTCATTTTCTAAAGCTTTAGTCCTCAAGTGGTTTATGTTTTTTATTTCTGCTGATGGTAATTTAAACCAATAGTATTTTAGTAGAATGGTTTAAGAGACTCAAACTCTACTTTGTGGTATTATTTATGGGAATGTTCTGAGAATGAGAAATCACAGGGAAATATCCTACCCAAATACCAAAGGCACAGCCCTCTTTCGACTTGAAAGCCATTCTGTAAAAGAACAAAGAAAAAAGAACCGTTTGACATTTTCGCATAGGTGTCCACTATTTAAATCATACCTTGAGAGAATCAAGGAATGTAATATTGATATAAATTTTTCCAAGTTTATCAACAGAGAAATTATATACATAGAGTAAGTTTTTAAAAATCAATTATTTTTGAGATTAAAGTAAAAGCAGATATCTTTAGAGTAACTTCTTTTTAACTCTGGTACTGAATTTCCCAGCTTTAAATTGGTAGGTTGGTTCATTTTGGGGGCAATGAAGGTAATAATGCTTTTCATGTGTTCAACCGTTTCAACAGTGCTATTCTCTCACATGTATTACATATTTTGGATAAGCTGTCTCTGAAAATATTTTGCAAAATTATAAGTTATAAAACCATAAATGTTTACAGAATTCTCAAGCGTTTTAAAACTTAATTTTAAGTGGGTTTCCTGTACACCAAAATGGTTTATGTTATAAATAACACATTTGTAAAGGTATAAGGACCTACAGTGATGAAGAGTGAAATACTTTCCAATCAGCAAGATTCTGGACAATTGTCCTATGAACATCAATCTTGTATTTCAGGCATGAGTGATTCACATTCTGTACTAGGTTCAGTAATAGGTTTTTCCAAGAAATACCCTACAAGTCAATGTATATTTAACTTTAAGGCAAACTAACTAACAACAACAACAACAACAACAAAATGCCTCTCAAAGTTTTTTAGAGGCTATCCTAAAATTTGCTTAATTACATTAAGCCAAGTCAAGTTAAAAAGTACATTATTTTAGCTATGTGAAGTGAAAGATCTGGCTCACTTCGCAGTCCTCTTGAAGACTAAGATTTCTTTAATTGTTTAAATAACTTTAGTAATTTGTAGTGGTGAATAAACTTTTACAAGTGGGTAGAGAATCCCATTTTAATGAGATTATATTTGGTGGTCTTATTATTGCTCATTACCCTGCAAACGCTTCTTCCTACGTTCTGACCATAGTCCGGAGCAGTGACTTTGGTGATAGGGTTACAAGAAATCTGTTACATAGGGTATTAAAAGCCAGAGCAATCCTCTCAGGAGTCAGTTTATTTAATGAAGCTATCTTTCAGGTAAGATATTTATCCACTTACTCATTTAAAAAGATTCAGTCAGGCTGATTGCCCAGTAAGATGACATGTTTTTAAAGAGTACTAAGTTGGTAGTATTACCAAGAAGTAAATTTATTTTCAGATGAGTGACAGTCAATATTATTTCTATTTATCCTCATCTCACTTTAATTAAAATGTGCAATGGCAACCCATAGAGTTTAAAAAAAATCTCACAGATGCTATTATGACTTAGTCAGGTTTGTCTTGTCATATGTCTGAGAGTCAGCTTGCACTTATCTAAACGTAACCTATAATTAAATGTTCTCAGTAGGTAAAGCCTTAGTTACAGCTGAATAGAGTTCCAGGAACCCCATTAGGAGTTTCATTATTTACTCTACACCAATAATGGCAGCTGTTGCATTTCTGTCTACAAAACACACTCCTTCCATTGTGCATAACCAACTGGCCTCTTACCCCTTAGACTGACTTCTCACATTACAATTAAAAGTTTTACTTAATTTTTGATATATTATGGATTAAGAATACACATTTATCATTAAAATTACACTTTTAAAGTTAAGACGGCTCTCACATTTACCTGCAGGTATAGAAAAAAAAAAAAAAAGAATAAAGAAAGCTATCAAAAAAACTCAAAAATAATTTTCAGGTACATTATCCCAGCCAGTTAGCTTACTATGTACTAAGTATCTCTCACTTTAATTTTACATTGTTGAAAGCTGAACATTTCCCTCTGACCCTCCTGTCTTTAGCTGCAACCTAATAAAAATGGCTGGGTTGCCAATGATCCACCCAAGTACAGTTAATTCAGGATTCCAACTCCCATTTCCAGTATCAGAATATAGTTACAATACCTGCTGCTTCAAACACTGGAACTTTCTGGCTTCAGTTTCATCAAAATTGAGACCTGCCATGGCTAGAAAATTCCAACTCCATTATTTCAATTTCAAATTAAATAAAAACCAAACAACTCTGTTTTTCACTTAAGTGAACAAAATCCATGAAATCATACCAAAGTTTCTGCTAGACAGAGTACAGCTGTGAGGCTGCTATAGCAACTCTTGTACACTGACCATAGACTGCCTGCTCCATCCAGGAAAGAAATCTTTTGCTCCACCCCCTGAGGCGTCAAAGGCTCTGGCAAGCAGGCAGCTAGTGAGTTTAGTAGCTGTGATGGAGCAACAATACACCATTCTTCATTATCTCTCAGTAATAAATGTCACCTCAACAACCATACCAGACTCCAAACCGATTTGCTGTACGTGGTTATGTATTTCAACACCATGATAGGACTGCGTTTTCTTTACCGCCTCCCATTAGAAACCCAGGCTAGGATACTGGCATGCACTCTTTTTCTGACCTTTAAGTTTGGTATAGCTGTGAAGGAGTGGATCTGCAGAAACCATGCAAGGCCACCAAGAATAACCCAACACTTTGGACCATACCAAATCACCGACGTTGTATTTCAACAGGTGGTCTTTGTCTCTGCCAGTGTTTGGACAAGACTCTTTCTTAGCTGGAATCTTTTTATCTGAAGGACTTGAGATCTTAGACGCCAGAGCTGCTTCGACAAGGCCCTGCTCCAGCAAGGAGTCATATTTTATGCTCCTCTTCCTGTTCCTTCTCACCTTGTTTTCTGGTTTTTGTCCATTTTCTTCTGACTGAGATATATCAGCAGCACTGTCACCACAAATGGAAGATTCAAAGAGAGGCTTCCCATTCATGTATGTTTTGGTGATTTTCAGCTTAATTTCTGGAGAGCTATTTTTGATAGGGGTAGTGTTAGGTGGTGTCCCAATCCCTTTCCCTGGCAAAACTGCCAGCTAACATTAAATGGCAGTATTAAACTCACATATATTATTATTAATTCTAAATTTAAATCGACTAAATCCCTCAATCCAAGGACACAGACGGGCAAATTGGATAAAAAGCCAAAACCCATTGGTATGTTGCATCCAGATCCATCTCACATGCAAGGATACACAAAGGCACAAAAGGGATGGAGAAAGATTCACCAACTAAATGGAGAGCAAAAATAAATAAATAAACAAAAAGCAGAAGTTGCAATTTTTGCCTCTGATAAAATAGTCCTTAAAACAACAATGATCAAAAGAAGCAAAGAAGGACATTATATAATGATAAAAGGATCAATGCAACAAGAGCTAAAGATCCTAAATATATATGCACTCAGTACATGAATACCCAGATATATACGACTTATAAAGAGACTTAGACTCCCGCACAATAATAGTGGGAGACTTCAACATTAATATTAGACAAATCAATGAGACAGAAAATTAACAACAATATCCAGGACTTGAACTCAGATCTGGAACAAGTAAACTTAATTAACATTTATAGAACTCTCCACTTTAAATACACAAAATATACACTTATCAGTACCATATCATACTTACTTACAGGTTTAAATGAAATATTGGTTGGCTGCTTGTTTGTTATTTTCTTCCCTCATTTTTTTCATGTCTCCATTATTAAGCACAATTATAGGCATACCCATTTTTAGACTGCATTCTAGCCCAGGCAATAAAGCAACACCCTCGTTCTCTCTCCTTCTTCCTCTTCTTTATTCTTTTTCATTCTTTTTCTTTCTCTTTTTTTAATTAAAAAAAAAGAAGAAAAAACAAAAACAAAAACAAAAAAGGCTGGAGTGGGAAGAGGTCAGCTTTTTCCGAGTGCTACATGAATGGCATGCCTGGTCAAAAAAAAAAAAAAAAAAAAAGAAACCTAGGCTAGGAAAGATGCCAAAGCCATTTCCCTTCAGGTACATAGAAAGAGATTAAAACCAAAATAAATAAGAATATTCCCACTTTTACCAAGAATATATTTAGGTGTTTGCTTTTAGGCTACAACTTATGCAAACATGTGCTCTACATTTTTGGGGGGGAGCCACTCAGATTGAAAAAATATTTATTGCGTTTTCACTAAGTGCCAACTCTCCTGTTGGGTGCTTTCCCATGTTATTTCATTTACTCCTCACAACAAATTAGTATAATCCTCACTTTACAGTTGAGAAACTGAGACTCCAAAAAGTTATTTGACTTGTCCAAGCTATTAAATGGTGGAGCCCCAGAATTTGGAACCAAGTTTCCTAGCTCTGAAGTCATGTTTTTTTCTACTACACTGGACTAATTTTTAAGAAAATTCTCAACGGAAATATTTCATGTTTCTAAAATGGCTTTTAAAAATTTAAAGGTAATTTTTAAAGCAATACATCTTCACAAGCAATGACTTTATTAATAACTAAATATATTTAGCCACCTTTCTAAATGTATAGAAAACAAAGGCACAGAAATATAGGTCTGCATTATGGTCCCTGACGGGTAGCAGAAAGCTAAAAAGTTTAGCAGAAAGCTAAGCTTTAACTATAAAACTCATATCCTCAAGGAGGAAAGGCAAAGTAGAAAAATAGGTAAAGTGATACAACTGAGTTTAGATCAAATACCCTATGGAATATTTCCAGGGCTGAGGAGCTAAGGGCAGGGATAAGGAGGGTGAAAGCTGGCAAAGGGCACATGCACTAATTTACACCAGGAGGAAATCTTGATCTCTTCCATTAACTGCTTTCAAGGATAATTCCAAGTTTTAATGTGCCCATCTTCAGTCACCTCCCCACTTCCAGGTCTGGAAGTTCTTCTAACATGGCATCTCTTTGCACCATTAAAATGAATTATAGTTCTCTTCCTCCCCAAAAGGTCCGTAATTACCCACTTTTTTCTACACAAACTTCTTGGGAACTTCCTAGGAAAACAGAAAAACTGTCTTCTAAAAATTGCTCTCCTTAGCTTCCCAAGATCCTGACCTAAAAATTCTTTCACATCTATAACTTGAACAATCTCTCAGCCATGGATTCAAAGAATTCAGTAAATACATACTTCCAGCTCTGTCCCTTAGGAATCACCTTCTCTTAAACTGCTGCCCTATATTTGAGCTCCTCTACTCTATTACACCTTTTTGGTCTGTCTTCTATTTCTAATTCAGTTCATGACTCTAGTTCCCAGTTGCCTCAGAGGATTTGAGTGAGAAACGAAGAGTTCAGAAGAATCATACTAGTTTCCATAGGTGTCCAGAAAAATGATCAAGTGCAAATTTATTATAAAGCATGCATACACAAAAAACATTTGACACTATTGATTTTAAAATATAAAAAATAAAAATATACCATACTACTCTGAATTTCTGCTGGATGAGGTAATTAAATGCTCAGCTTTCTCTTCTTCTATACTTTCTTATAAAAAAAAATCACTTTTGTGGATCCTAGAAATTCAGTCTTATGATATACAATGCAAAGAATAAAAGTCAGCAAAAATTAAAAAGTAGTAAAATTGATCATTGATTTTTTTCTTTTTTAAAAAAAAACTAGTTTTGTAAAAGAGAATGGGAATAGGAGAGGAAAGCTTCTGCAATAGAATTCTGTCTCCTAAAAATTAAGTAGCTATGGGTTTCTCATAAAAATTTGGATTAAAGTCTTCTTCACAAAACTGTGTAACTGTTTCCCTTTCCAAAAGAGAAAAACATTTCACACACATCTCTAAAACAAAAAAAAAAAAGCACCAGGAAAGCTAAATGATCTTTCTGAACTCTGTTCACTTAACATTGGTTTTTAAAGTTACAAGCCCATTAAATGAAAAGTGGAATGAATGGGACCTGGAGCTCAGATTTAACTCAATTTTGAATACTGTTAATCTGCAAAATGAACAATGTTTCTAAGACAAGCTGAGGTTAGGGGCTTCAATCAATAAGAAAAATAAAAAAGCAATAATTTATTATTTGGAACGCAGTAGGTCATTAGGCATCAATTTTAAAATACTACAACTTCATGTTTTATAGAAGCTAGAAACATGATTCAAACATGATTCAAATGTCACAAAGTTGTATTAAATTAAAACCACTTTAGACAATTCAAGTTCTCATTGACAAAGTTCATTTAAGGTGACAGTTTTGCTATTTTGTTACTGTTCCCACATGATATCATCTCTTCTCAATTTCACTTGAAGATTATGAACTCGTATTGGATGAAAGCTGTTGTTTTTCTGAAAAAGGTTAGTGTCAGTCAAACATTTTCTGGGGCTATTTTTTACGCTCCTTGATCCTTTAGGTTTGCTGCCTTCTTGCTGAATACCTGAAGCTTTACTCATCTTTGAGTTTTGAACTTTTTGCTGCAGTTTACGGACCTGGAGAGAGAAAAAAATCTAACATTTTAGTCAAAAATATACTAAAAATATGCTCCAAAATAGATGAGTTGGATTGATGGTTTAAAGATTACATTAAATTAAAAAGTCCAATTCAGTAAGTATTTTATTTATTGAACATCTAGTACATGCCTAAACACTGTGTCATCAGGTAGAAACATAATGAAGAGAAAAGCTCTTACTTTCAAGGAGCTTACTGCTCCTATTAGTGAAAAAGAAAAGCACATATGTGACAACTAGAGGATACTCCGAGCCAGGATAACTTTGAATAAGACAAAAAGTGTTACATGTGAGAAGGCCAAAGTAGGATAAGGTCAACGTGGGCAGGAGAGGTTGAGGGAAAGGTTGTGTGGTAGATATTAAATTGGCAAAAACTAGAGAACAGAGAGGAGAGAGAACCTTTCCCATAATGTTAATAGCAAAGCAAATAATTGTTTCTAGTTTAGAAACTTACACACACACACACCACACACACACACGTATGTGTGTGTGTGTGGTGTGTGACGTGTGTGTGTGTGGTGTGTGTGTATTGTGTGTGTGTGGTGTGTGTGTGTATGTGTATAAATATATGCATTTTTTTAACTGCCATTCGGTAGTACCTTAAATTCAGGAATACCTTTGTGTACAAACACTTTTGTGTATTCCTGAATTTAAAGTACTACTGAATCACAGTTTTTAAAAAAGTCAAGGGAATAACTTTATCCTTGAGTAGTATATGGTAATAGCAGAGGCAGACAGAATTAAACAAAAACAATACCTATCAACTAGCCAAAACCCACTTTTGCAAAGTCTAACCCATTACTTAGGCTATGTCACTTGAGCATAGGTTTAATTTGTAGCATAGGTTTAATTTGTAGAGCTGATTCAGACTTTGGGTGAGTACCTAGTTCTCTATTTGGCTAACAGGCAATTTTTATTACAGATATTACATTTATCATAATATAATGCTTAAAAATTTATAACTGTTATAGCTATTATGGAATATAAATCACGTTTTTCAAAATACAGTATAAACTACCCGAGTTTAAAAAAATGATCATTCTTCTATTCAATTTTCTCCTATGCAATTTCAAGAAAGTATAGAAGTTGTATAATCTTCACTCCAAAACAATCATACATAAATTTTTACTTATTATAGCCTTAAAAGACAGTAAAATAAAAGTACTTGTTTTAAAAATTTCACTTTTTTCCTTTCTTTCTTTGTCATAAGAAGAATAAAAGTAATAATATTCTGCATCTTTTATTACTTTCCTATAAAAAGCAGGGAGGCTTATTTGTGGCATTCATATATCATTAACTTTGATGAATGGTGATTTTGTCCATAGACATATGGCTTCATGATGGGACTTGAGGGTTCCTTGGAAAGGCTCCCTCCGCCTTCTGCTCCAACAGTGTCATAGTGCTCCAAGTTCAACCTATGGAGTCATTGTCTTGGAACTAAATATTATACTTCATGATTCTTGTTAAAATAGTAAACCATTCACTATTCTTAGTTATTAAAACTTAACATATAAATATAGAGTTTTCCTTACCATCCCTGTCCTACTCACTATAGCTAGCTTAGTATAGGTTCCCAGGGAATGGAACATAACATAGCTTGTTTTGGGAAAGGGGAAACATGCTTTAAGGATTGGGGCACTGCTTGGGAGCCAGGTTTATGTCTGGTAGTGAATTAGAGACCTGCTGACATAAGGGGTATCATTAAAGCATTAGAAGAGAGAAGGAAAAGAAAATAGATAGCTAAGAGAGTAACTGGAGGGCTTCTAAGGCAAGTTTAGTCTACCTCACTATTTCCCCAAAGCCATTTCTGAATATATAACTAAGTTTCTTTGCTCATTAAAAAAATTTTAACTTGGAGAGTTATGTAGGAGGTCCATGTTATTCCAATGGGACAGATGGCTGTATTTTGTCACAGGCCTATGTGACTACCATCTATTTTTTCCCTAATTCCCATATACAGACCTCAAATTTGGAAAGTCATACAGAGATATAACACTGAATCCAGATATTTTATCTTTTTATTAAAATCTCTTACTAAAGCCTTCTTACACTGTCTTGATGCTTCTTCAGTTTGGAGATTTGTTCTCCTTTAATTTCCATTTTCTTGACTAAACACTCTAGTTCACATTCTATGTCATTACACATTGAATGGCTTTCAGTTTCCTTCATTTGTTTCAGTAGTTCTTGGTGCTCCCTATGAAAGAATAGCAAATATTAAGCACTATTATAGTTTATTGCACATATGTCTTTACCATAATGAAGCAATTTTCTGTTCAATCATAAGTTTCAGTCAGAGTTAAACATTACCCTCTAAAAAATATCCTTCTTTAGAGTTGTTTAACTCTATGGTAAATATAACCAGGCTCCTGTGATTTGAAATTAAATACATTTAGAAATACCTTAACACTGCTAAGGAACTTTAAAAAAATCTGAATTCTTGATGTTCACAGATCCATGTAGTAAGATATTTGATGTTTTTAACTAGAGTTATTAAAGGGTTCTCTTTTTCATTATTGATGTAAGATCTTTGGAAGAATTCCAGCTGTGGTATTTGCCTGAAAAATTTCTGGATTTGGAGTTAGCCTACTGAAATGCTGTTAATAGAATTAGTTATATCTTCTACAGAGGTCTTAGATCAACTAGCTGGTCAGCCAAATAACATAGTTCTGAAATTTCTGTTGAATATATATTTAAGGGAGAGGGAGGCACAATATAATGTATCTCATACGGAAATCTTTCTTACTATAGATGCTTCAAAATTTGTAATGCAGACCAGACAGAATCTAAAACAAGGTATTACATTCCTACTTGTCTAATGAAATCATTCAGCTAAAAGATTCTAAAACGCAAAGGGAGAGCCTTATAAAAGCTTTTGTGAGTTATAATCTAAGGTCATCAGATCCTATGTTAGAATGATAGTAATATCTATCAGTCCAGATTTTGTGAATACAGAAATACCTTAGAATGAAAAAGTACTAGTTACACAGAATTGAAATTTAAATAGTACTAATAAATACAATGAAAAAACTGTGACAATATATCTGTCCAAATGGCTAAGTAAGGCCTTTAAGAATTTATAAGTGGTATTGTTCTTAAGACTAAGAAGAGAAAAATGATATCTAAATATCTTGGTACTTCTCCTGATAAAGAATAAAAATACTGGTCAGGCATGGTGACTCATGTTTGTAATTCCAGTATTTTGGGAGGCCAAGGCAGGAGGACTACCTGAAACCAGAAATTCAAGACTAGCCTGGGCAACATAGCAAGACATTGTCTATTTAAAAAAAAAAAAAAAGAATACTTACATACTCATTTGGTCCAGCTCATCTTGCATTGCCATCAGAAGTTCGGATAAATTGTCACAAATGGAAATGGACCTTTCTGAGTCAGTATGAATAGCCTTACACCAGGAAGTTGTTCTAGACGGCTTGGGGAGACATCTAGGCTCAGTCTCATTAGAAGATTTCTGAAGGATATGTGGGCCACGATGTTGCCTCATCTGCAAAAATTTTTGCATATTTGCATTCATGGAACAGCTTGCACTGGCAAACGTATTGGAAAAGAAATAACTGAGAACAATTTTAAATGACTGAAGATATTTAAATAGCACTTACAACAAAGCAGGAGTTTTTCGGAACAACTCTCTTCATTTTATCCCCTCTTACCTTTCCAGCCACAAAAGGCAGTGCTCCAAACTTTGAACAAATTTGCCCAGGTGGTCCTCTCTTTACACATTTAGTTTTCTAGGGATTGACAAGAAAAAACATAAACAAAAATTATTTTAAAAGTTACTTCTGATATGAAGAACTCTCAAAACTCAACAGAAAACAGTGCAACTGGAAAATGAGCAAAAGACATGAACAGAAATTTCACTGACAAAGACATACATATGGCGAACATATGAAAAGATATTCAACATCATTAGTTATTATGTAAATGCAAGTTAAAATTTCAGTGAAATATCACTGCACATCTATCAGAATGGCCAAAATAAAAAATAGTGACGATACCAAATGTTGGCAAGCATGTAGAGAAAATGAATCACTCACATATTGTTGGTGGGAATACAAAATGGTACAGCCATTTTGGAAGACAGTTTAGCAGTTTCTTATAAAACTAAAAACATGCTTATCACATGACCCAACAATTGTTCTCTTAGGCATTTATCCTAGAAAAATGGAAAGTTATGTTCACATAAAAACCTGTGCACAAATGTTCATAACAGCTTTGTTTGTAATAGCTAAAAAACTGTTTTTTTTTTTGAGACAGGGTCTCATTCTGTCACCCAGACTTGGAGTACAGTGGTGCAATCTCGGCTCAGCAAAACCTCGGTCTCCCAGGCTCAAGCGATTCTCCTGCCTTAGGCTCCTGAGTAGCTGGGATTACAGGTGAGTGCCACTACTGCCAGGCTAATTTTTGTATTTTTAGTAGAGACAGGGTTTCACCATGTTGGCCAGGCTGGTCTTGAACTCCTGACCTCAAATGATCCATCTGTCTTGACTTCCCAAAGTGTTGGAATTACAGGTGTGAGCCACCACACCCAGCTCCAAATATCCTTAAACAGATGAATGGTTAAATTGTGGTATATCTGTAACACAGAATACCAGGCAGAAATAAAAAGGATATATTGATACTTATAACAACTTGGATAGACCTCAAGGGAAAAAAGCCAATCACAGAAAGTTACATACTGTATAATTCCACTTATTTAAAATTCTTGAGATAATAAAATACACAGATGGTGAACAGATTAGAGGTGGCCAATGTTCAGGGAAGGGATGTATAGCATGAAGGAGTCTTTCAGTGGTGGAAGAGTTCTGTATCTTGATTGTTGTGATAGTGACATGAATCTACACATATGATTCATAAAATCTACACATATGATTTCTCTCTATGTAAAATTTTCCTATTGCTGTCAGTTACCATCTAAAATTAGCAACTCTAATTATGTCCCTACACTTCTCAGAAGCTTTCAATGGTTCCTGTTTATAGAATAAAATTTCAAACTCTTCACATGGCATTCAAGGTCAGCCATTAGCTCACCCCAAGCTCTATTTTCCATTTTAACTTTCACTATGATCCCGTCTCACCCCCACTACTGGACTATTACGTATAGGTCCCTGGAAAAACTAACAATTTCCTCAGACTGTAATACATTTTTCCTCATCTCAGTCTGTCAATACTTAATTCTTCAAGGCTTCCTTTAATATAGCTTCTTGCACATTACCTTTCACATATTCCTTTGTCTACACAGCACCACAACACACTTTGTTTAAACCTCTATTAATTTTCTATTACACTGTTTCATATTTATATATTTATCTATTTCTCATAAATTCCTGTCTTACTTATTTTTTTAATCACTTAGAGATACCAGTCTATGTACATCAAAATGTGTAAGTTGAATGAACTATGTCCAGGACATGGACAAACAGTGGGATAGGAAGCAGGCCTCTCATAGAGGCTTCTTGAATCTGATCCTACTTTTAGCAACTTTGGCACCATCTCCATCTTTAAAGGGAGACATAATTATTTGCACACCCTGTGAACTTGGGGTTTGAACTACGTACTTCTATAAAGTGATTCTGCTGTTAATTACTCTGTTCTCTTCCAGGAGTTACCTTTTCTTTCCTTCATTTCTTTTATCTTCCCTCTGCACCTTCACTATTTTTACAATAAATAGGTAAACTGAAAAAAAGTTCCATTAAAAAAGTTATCATCAGAGAGTGGATGCCATAAAACATACATATTGGGCAATGTGTGTTCCACTGGCAAATTACTTATAGTGATTTTCTATTTAGCTTTGTAGCTCTGAATCTCATTGCACAAACAAGACACAAAACAAGTATTTAGGAAAGAAAATAAGCAAAATAAGTCATATTAGGGAAATATTTTTCATTATTGTAGTTTGAAAATTCTTGAAAATGAAAAAATTATGAAATATATAGTCCAAGTATTGAACACGAATTCTTATTTATGTAATAAGAGTAGCCAAAGTTAAGCATAATGTTCTCTCCATTATTTTATCTACAAGCTAAGCACATGGCAGTGGCCAGAATTCCCAAATAGCATCTCCTGTCTCCCACAGCAAATGGCACACAGAACACTCACTACATTCATATCTGAATAAATAGCAATAATGGCCATCAAAACCATAATTCCAGAATCATAAGATTAAAAGGGACTAAAAGCATTTTTCATACCATTATACATAATTAAGAAGGGTTACTTAAATAGAATGCATTCAAAACATGAATTCATCTAAACAGAATATTGATCTATAAAGTACTAACTCTCCAATCCTTACTTTTAGACAAATTCACAAGAAATGAGCATAGAAATTACAGGTAACAATAAATTCTCTACATAAATGACTTGACAAACTTAACAAATCTGTAAGAAAAACCGTTATTTTTCATTGTGCATGTATTACATAAAACTGCTTTCAGGATCTATTATGTTGTCAATATCTACTATGCTATTTAGTGCCTCTTTTATAAAGTATCACAAAATATATTTCTCTAGAAGTTTAAAACTAGAAAAATGTTAATCTTTCTAGAAAACCTTGAGAGCTTCCTGTTATTTCACAAATATAGCTATACTGTCCATTACATGTTCCTTTTTGCTTTGGTTGTAAAGAAAACTCAGAGCTAAATTTTTTATATGACTGCTGCTACTTTTTTAAAACCTGAATCTTATGAAATTTTCTGTCCTTATACCCCAAATCATCATTCATTATTCAACATGCATTACTGCATGTCTTTTATTATATATCTTCAAATCCTTTTTAGAAAGGGGTAGGTATAAGCATTAAGAGGGTGTAAAATAAGTATTATCAAATAAAAGTATTGTTTGGAATAAAGTTTTACATGCACACCTTTGAAGATTTCTTCTTTTCCTTGGAGTGCTTTAGATTTGAAACTGAAGACATTAAAATTTTACTGATTTCAAGCCCAGTTTGAAGCTATAATATTTAAAAAAAAAAAGTTATAAAATTGATTTGTAACATGCAAAAACATTGTAATGAGCTATCAGGTCTAAGTTTATAAATATGAAAATGCTTTTTGAAGAAGAAAAGAAAATTTCAAATACTATTTTTGTATGTGTGAAGGTCACTAAGTCTATTGGTAATTACAATAATTTTGTTTATAAAAGAGTAAATTATTTAATATACATATGTCAATCAAACTGAAATCTATCCCAGGAGTTCTTTCAACTGAGAATATATGTTATTTGTCAGAATTTCAAAAGATTAAAAGACCTCCAGATAATACAGCCAAGTATTATACTGGCTGAGTGAGAGTTTCATTATCATAACAAAAAGACAATTTAGGAAGCAGAAATTACAATCTAGAACACAGGTTTCAGTTTAACGAAAACAAAAATATGGTAAAACATATATGGTTTACTGTGATAGATTATATAGTGCTATATTTACCTCAGAAGCTTTGTCTTGAAATAGCTTACGTTGATGTTCTTCTTCCTTAAGTCTTTCTTCTAAATATTTAATCTTGTCCTGCAAAAAGGGTGAAAAATTAACATTGTTATATAAAAACTAGAGCCAAGTATCCTTTGTTCTTTTCCAAATAGAGTCCTAAGGGTCTTGATTCTTAAGAGTTTCGCAAATTAAGGCGGAAAATGAGAAAAAGGAAAGGCATAAGATGTTAAGATTCTGTTTTGAGACAGAGTCTTGCTCTGTCGCCCAGGCTGGAGTGCAGTGGTGCAATCTTGGATCACTGCAACCTCCGCCTCCCAGGTTCAAGCAATTCTCCTGCCTCAGCCTCCCAAGTAGCTGGGACTACAGGTGTGTGCCACTACGCTTGTCTAATTTTTTGTATTTTTAGCAGATGCCCACCTACTAAGGATGTTCACCATGTTAGCAAGGATGGTCTCCATCTCCTGACCTCGTGATTCACCCCTGCTCTGCTGCCCTGCCTCCCAAATGCTGAGATTATAGGCATAAGTCACCATACCCAGCCAATGTTAAGATTTTTCTTGGCTTTCTTCCCACTTCTTTATTTGCTTCTTTACCTTCTATTACATATAAGAAGAACAAAGAAAAAGCAAAGAATATACACACACATAGGCTTTATTAACTTCCAGCAACAAAATCATTATGATGAAATTTTTAAGGTGTAGGTCAAACAATTACAGTCTTGGGTCTCAACGTTTCATTCAAAGCATATAAAAATAAGTTTCTACTATTTGCATAAATATAATAAGTGTAATTTTGGGAGCAAGGAGAGTGAAAAGACATAATAGGAATATACAATGTGATCCTTGTTACTTAAGAGCTTGTACAGACTGAGTATCCCATATCTGAAGTGCTTGGAACCAGAGATATTTTAGATTTTGGAATATTTTCATTACCAGTTTGGTACCTCTAATCCAAAAATTCAAAATTCTACATTACTCCAATGAACATTTCCTCTGAACATTTTATTAGTGTTCAAAAGTTTGGGATTTTGGAGCATTTCAGATTTTGGAGTTAGGGATACCCAACCTGTACTGTATGAAAAGAAAAAAAAGAGTAATATTCACAAAACAATAAAACAACAAAGCAAGGAAATAATTTGAAAGGGATCATATATACATATAACCTTAAATATATAAGTATCTCATCTTACATCTGTGGTGTGGTTCAGAATAGAAAGACAGTACTATTTCAAAAGGAGAACTTCCTGAGTGTTGAAAAGCTCAAGGAGGACTTCCTAGAGGAATTATGACTATGAGAAAACCCTATAAAATGGAAAGGATTTGGAGGGGAAAAGGATGGACAGGGGAACCAGAATAGGATTAAGTTGACTGCAAGTGGTATAAGACAATTTTTCCATATCCTTTAGGTAAAGTATCTGACAAATGAAAATATCCTGCCATATTAGAAGTCAAGATTACAATTTCACATCAAAAGACAGCTCATTCATGCTGTGACAGAACACATTAACTCTCACTCTATAGGTAAGAATTCATACTTGGATTATTAAAAGATGTCAATAAAGTTTTATAAATCTAAGATTTACTCTACATTCACATAAAATACCAATTATGCTTAACACTAAAGATTTATTCCTGTTGTCATCACTTCAAAGAAAGCTTACCTCAGCAGTTTTCTGAGTTGCTGTAAGTCTAAAACACTCTTTTTCTAAGACATCAAGCTTTTCAAGTTTTGCATACAGCTTTATCTCATCTTGCTCTTTTTCCCTCTGAAGCTGGGCCTAGAAAAGATAAAAATAAAATAACAACCCTGAATTTGGCAAGTAATGCCAATGGAACAAGAATAATACAATTTCTGAGAATTCAAAACACAATATGAATATCGTAAGAAACATGTACTTATAAATGTATATACTTTAGGTGCTTACAAACAACAAGAAAATCAAATACTTTTATTTATTTTTTTCAATTTTAAAGTCATAACTATCTTTTTTTGTTTTGTTTTTGAGATGGAGTCTAGAGTTCAAGGACGTGATCTCGGCTCACTGCAACCTCCACCTCCTGGATTCAAGTGATTCTCCTGCCTCAGCCTCCCAAGTAGCTGGCACTACAGAAATGCACCACCATGCCCAGTTAATTTTTGTATTTGTAACAGAGATGGGGTTTTACCATGTTGGCCAGGATGTACTTGATCTCTTGACCTTGTGATCTGTCCACCTCAGCCTCCCAAAGTGCTGGGATTACAGGCATGAGTCACCACGCCCAGCCCATAATTTTTTTAATTAAAATTTAATTTTTTTTCCTGAAATCAAACACTTTTAAAGAGTAAGTAAAATGTGCAAAAAAGACCAGGTATGGTGGCTCATACCTGTAATTCAAGCACTTTAAGAGGCTGAGATGGGAGGACTGCTTGAAGCCAGGAGTTTGACACCAGCCTAGGCAACATGGTGGGCATTTATAACCATACTAATGTAAGATACTAATTATAGGGGCAACTGTGAGGGAGCAAGAACTCTCTCTATACTATCTGCTCAATTTTCTATAAACCTAAAATGGCTACAAATGATAAAATCTATTAATTAAAACAAAACCAAAAACAATACCAATAAACAGAGTCTTGGTAACCTGTGGTTTAGTAACATTCGGTTGAAGTCCCAAAGAAGAGGAGAGAGAGGTGAGACAGAATAATTATTTGAAGGATAATAGTTGAAAATGTTCCAATTTAATGAAAAATATGGACAGATTCAAGAACCTCAAAAGTCCAAGCATTAAAAAAAAAAAAGGAACATCATTATCATATTGTTGAAAACCAGTGATAAAGGGGACAATCTTAAAAGCAGTCTGAGAAATGATGACACATTATGCATAAAGGAATAAAGAAAATAACTTTGATTAGAAACTGTAAGATCCAGAAGATAACAGAAACAAAAATCTTTAAAGTCCTGAAAGAAGAAAAGATGTCAACCAGAATTCTATATCCAGCCAAAATATCTTTCACAATGGCAGTGAAACAAGACTTTTCCAGATAAATAGATGCTAAGACAATTCTTGGTATTCTGATATTTTCCTTCAGACTGGAGAAAAATGATACCAAATGGAAAATGAAATCTACACAAAAATAAAAAGCACAGGAAAGGTAAAAACTAAATATTTTTGTTTCCTAATTTTCCTGAAAGAATAATTGACCATTTGAAGCAAAAATAATAATGTATTGTGGGTTGTATGACATACGCAGAAATAAAATGTATGAAAACTATAGCACAAAGGGGACTAAGAGGAAGCATATTGAAAGAGGATCCTACATTATATGCGAAATATTTTAATACAGATATATGGCAGACTGTGGTTAGTTAAGGATACATATTTCAGGTCTTAGAGTAGCTATTAAAAAGGATCATAATTTGTTTCAATATCTATTAGAGAAAGACCCTTATCTTATTCTTCAGAATAGTCTGGCTATTCTTGGACTTTTGCTTTTCCATATAAATTTTAATTTCTTAAGAATCTATTATGCATTTGACCCATCAAAATCCAATATTGACTGTTACTTTTACCCTTCTGCCAAGACAATGCAAGGGTATTAGAACACTTTAAACTACTTTACTTCTTCCAAATATATAAGCCATTGTCCTGATGAATTTTAATTCTTAATATGTATTTAAACCACACAAAGCATTATTGTTTTCTATAATATTCATTTAGATTTATCCACATATTTACCATCTTCATTGCTCTTTATTCCTTCCTGCATCTCTGACCTTCCACCAAAGGTCATTTTCCTTCGGTCTGATATCCTTTAGCATTCCCTTTAGAGTAGGCCTACTAATAACAACTTATCTCAGTCTTTTTAGTCTTAAAATGTCTTAATTTCTGAAGGATACTTCCTCTAGGCATAGAATTCTAGACCAGCACTTATTTTCTTTTAACACCTTAACTCTAGCAGTCCCTTGTCTTCTGGATTCAGTACTTTCAGTTGAGAAGTCAGCTATCACTTTAATTGTTTTCTCTTTGAATGTAATATGTTTTTTCCTGGATGCTTTTTAAGATTTTACTTTTTTTTTTTTTTTTTTTTTTGAGGAGTCTTGCTCTGTCATCCAGGCTGGAGTACAATGGCGAGATCTCAGCTCACTGCAATCGCCGCTTCCCGGGTTCAAGCGATTCTACTGCCTCAGCCTCCCAAGTAGCTGTGATTACAGGTGCCCGCCACTATGCCTGGCTAATTTTTCTATTTTTAGTGGAGATGAGGTTTCACCATGCTGGCCAGGCTGGTCTTGAACTCCGGACCTCACATGATCCACCCACCTTGGTCTCTCAAAGTGCTGGGATTACAGGTGTGAGCTACTGTGCCTGGCCTTACTTCTGTTTTATTTTTTTGAGTTATCTATGTAGAGCCTTCCTTATATTATCCTGCTTTGATTTTTGTGGGGTTTCTTGAATCTATGGTGTAATTTTACTTTTTAATTTTATAACATTCTTGGCCATTATCTCTTCAAATACTGCTTTTGCCCTATTTTCCCTTTCCTTTTTTTTTAAACTCCAATTACACATAAGTTGGACCTCATTCTAATATTATGCCTCTTCTCTGTTTTCTGAATTAACTATCTTTCTTTGTCTCTTCATTGATCTGCATGGTTTCTCCTTCCAGTTCACCAATTTTTCTAATCTGTTGTTAGATCCAGTGGGTTCTAAATTTGTTATATTTTTCTTCAGTTCTATAATTTTTATTTGGTTCTTTCTCCAATCTGCTTTGCCAGTTTATAGTTTCCAATTCTTCAGTAAACACTGCAATCTTGTCTTTTAACTTGATTATAGCAAGCATAATTATTTTAAAGTCAATGTCTGTTAGAGCCAGTGAGTACCTAGCTGGAGCTAACTTTCAAGTGTCTATAGAGTCTGTTATGCATGCTGTTTCTTATTCATTTCGTAGTGTTTTATCTCCTTCTGCCTGATTATCTTTGGTTAAAAGTTGCTCATTGTTGAAGAAATATTTGTAGAAATAATTTGAGGCCCCTGGGAATATCAGTAATCCAGGATCACTGTAATTCAACTTTAGAAACTAAGGTTTTCTAGGCTAACTTGGTAACCTGGAGTAGGACTATAATCTGGGTTCTTTTTCTCGTTCACCCTTATAAAGCACTTGAGTAGAAGAGATTTAGTAGCATCCTATTTGATAGGTTCTGGATTCTAATTTCCTTAGCCACAGATGTGGCTGACAAAGGCATTATTTAGCCTCTCAACTGCCTCTTCTGGAACCAGAAATATCCTTAGAAGAAAGAAGCCTGAAATGTCAAGACAAACGGAATTTAAGTCTGCAGAGAACTTAAATTTTGAATTGATGATTTTTCATCACCTTGTCAGTTACTCAAATGCCTTAATGATTTTTCTTTGTTTCTTTTTTCTCTCTTTTAAAAGAAATATTCTGTTCAGTATTTGTTTTTCTCTGCAGAAGAGGTGGTTCAAATGACCTAGCTTGTAATTAGTGTAAGTGGAAATCTCTGGTACACAGCTTTATATTCTACTTTACTTAAGAGTATAATACGGCCGGGCATGGTGGCTCATGCCTGTAATGCCAGTACTTTGGGAGGCTGAGGCAGGCGGATCAACTGAGGTCAGGAGTTTGAGACCAGCCTGATCAACATGGAGAAACTGTGTCTCTACTAAAAATACAAAATTAGCTGGATGTGGTGGCACATGCCTGTAATCCCAGTTACTCAGGAGGCTGAAGAAGGAGAATCGTTTGAAACCAGGAGGTGGAGGCTGTGGTGAGCCAAGATTGCACCATTGCACTCCAGCCTGGGCAACAAGAGTGAAACTCCATCTCAAAAAAAAAAAAGAAAAGAAAAAAGAGTGTAATATGACAACTTTCCCATGACATTAAAATATTCTTCAAAAACATACAAAATTATATTATCATTCCTTGTAGAAAATATGCTCACCTGTTGTTCTAGGATCATGTTCTTTTCTCGCTCTACATTGAGAACCATTCTCTTTGTATATTCTAGTTGCTTCTCTAGAAGAGTACAACGAGACTGGGCTGAGCTTAACTGTATACTTATATCTAAGAAAAAGACAAAATAATAACGAGTAAATTACCTGATTATCACATAGATCAGAGATTTGGTTATCACAAGAAATTATGTGAATTCAATCAAGAGCTAAAAGTTTAGGGCCTCTTTTATCTCTGAGTATTGACTTTTCCAGAGTTATGAAAATACATTTGTAAATAGCTCATTAATTACATAGAACTGGTTTAATACTGTCTCTTCCTAAAAACCCAGAGGGCATACTACTGAAAGAGGAGGATGTCAGTAACTTGTGAGATGATAAATATCCTGCTTGTTGATGGAAATAACATCATCTGGAAAAACAGTCTGAAAGTTTCTTACCTATCTATCAATTCATTTCTTTTCTTTCGGGAAACTCAAGTATATGCATCTACCACTCTCATTTTCCCCTGTTCTTGACTGCTGGCAGCATAGTTAATTCCATAGCAGAAAACCTATTTCTAATCACTTAACTCTTTACTTTCTTTACCCCTTTCTTCCACTTTTGTCTAATTACCTCAGAAATCTTTTTTCCCCCATTTCTTCATTCTACGTCTAAGCTGAAATACAAACTTGAGCCTTGTTTATGAGTGTAGTGTAACAAGGAAAAAGAAGTCAAAAGTTTTGAAGTGAAATTATATAAAAGACTTATGTTCTCAATTTCCAAAACTTTTCATAATTTCCACAGACGCCTCCCCCATTTGCCTATTTCTTCTAATTAACCTTTTTTCCCCCTCCAGTTAAATAAAATTCACTTGTATATATTTTTATTGCTTTTATATTCTTTAATTACTAGTGCTGTTTTATATTTCAAATTCTAAAATTTAGCGTTAATTGCAAATATAAAGTATTTCAGTTATAGGTTAAATTGCATATTGGTTATTCTGAAAGTATTCTAATTTTTAAACACAACTTGTCTAAAATCCTAATTTTTCCTTTAATTTCTAGAAATTATGAATTACGATAACAGATATGATAGAGGTTAAGTTCAAACTAAATCTTTTTCCCACAAATATCAAAAGGTCTAAAAACATGGTCACAAGGTTTGCTTATATATAAGAACAGAGGTATCTGAGTACATTTGCTTAGACTAGGCTTATTATTTTTGAACTGTAAACTTCAGTAACCCCTGGTTTCTGAGAAGTACTGCATTTCTTACCTTTTTTCTGCTTTATCAGCTCCTGGTGTGCCAGATTTCTCTCATTTGTTTCATTCTCCAAGGCCTTCTTATACTGTGCTGCTTCTTTGGAAAGAGTGTTCAGGTTATCTTCAGCCTGTGTTCTCTCCAGCTCTAAACGATGAATTTTTTCCTGAAGAGTTTTTAAGGCTAAAATAAGAGCTGTTGAAAAAAAATTTTGTTGATGGTTTAAGTGGAAGTTTCTGAACACTTACAATCACAGTAACTTAAGAAAAATAAGCAGTATATTTTTGTTAGTGAACCAGAAAAATGTACAAGTAATAATGCATATTCTTCAAAAAATGAAAAATAATGTCTAACACTCTAAAGAGGGGCACATTTTTCTAATATATCTTGTAAAAACAATATATCTATGATTGTATTTAGTGATTTCTAAGATTGAGAAAGTGAATAACCACAATTTTAATAAAATATTTTCAAATGAAAGGACTTAAAACAAGGTACAGTCTGGAGAGCGTAAGAGTCTGAATATGGATAAGGAATATTAAAATACAATTTCTACTAATTAACAAGGCAATTTAGGTTTAAAGTTAAAGGTTTTTCTTCTCAGTTCTTGATGTATTCCGTTTTAGTAAAATCACACATATTTATTGTTTCTTTGTCCACGATGCAGTATTAAGAACATAGGTTCTTTCACTGGAAAAAATGATAACCTAATGGTTTACCTGATGTCAGACCTGAAAGATAATAGTACACTGCACTACGGTGGTTTTTATTCAACTATATTAATATCTTCATGATTCAGTTAAGTTTAAAGTTTTAGCTGTCATATAGTTTATGTCAAATTAGATGCTTGCTGGAGATTATCATTTGACTTTTATAGATGAGATAAATTATATTTATTCATCTTTATATGGTATCTGTGTTCCACATAAATATGAAAAGTTTTTCATAGCATGCTTTTACCATTCTTCTAATTTTATATAAAATTTTACATCAGCATTACCTGGGCTATTTGGGCTATGAAGTATCTTAGAAGAGGTAACTTCTAAGTTTGCAGGATGGCAATTCTGAGATGATTCATTCTGGGTGAATGATGGAACAAATACTCTTTCTGGAGGTTTATGATAGCTTCCTACTATACTATGCATTAATTCAGAATCCATTATCTGTAGAGAACAGAGGAATTATATAGTATAGTATCATTCTTTACTATTTTAAGGGTGAAAGCATTGTACAAAAATTCAGGTGAAACTTTAACAACATAATCATATACTATGGAGCTATATCTTCATGAACTTAATAAGAAATTCAACTCTAATAAGCTTGGCAATAAAAGAAAAAAATATGATTTCTTGTGTAAGTAATATAGATAATTTTGCTTGATTTTCAATAATCATATGCCCTGGAATGAGCATGACATGAGTGATGTGAATTTACTGGATTCTCAAGTTACTCATAAATCCCATACACCAATCGTAGTCTGAGCACTTCTCCACAAGCAGTGTGACTCTACGACTTAAAGAGAAAGTATGTATTCTAAAAGACAACAGAGCTTTTAAACACAAACCAAAAATATAAACTGATTCTCTAATACTGATTGTTGAATTCTAATGCATGGCTTCCTAAGGGATTTTCAAGAGTAATTTTGGATATGTGAAATATTGGAATCTAACCCTTGAATAAGACACATCTTTGCTTAATGCATTAGCATTTTAATAACCTAGGTTAGAAAGTTTCCAAATCTAAAGAATCTAGAATAGTTTTGTTAGTTTGGTTCTTTTGTTGTTGTTATTGTTTTGTTTTGGTAAGAGAGCCCTTTTAACCACTTTAGCAGTTAAGTTTTGGTCTAAATTTTCCAAATCATTTTATTTTCCTTTCTGCAATTTAAATAGTTTAGAATTGTATTCTATTTTTTAATAGATTCTAGTCAATGTTAATTAAACTAATTCATAATCACATAAGGTGATAACTGTTCACACACACACACAAAACTCACTGGCAGGATTTTAAGCTAGAAATCTTGCTTCAAAATATAAATTCAAGAATTACACTATAGCATTAGCCTATTGTGATTTTTGAGATTTGCACATTTTCCATTTCAATACCTCCCCAGTTCACAAGGCAAAGGCAGTCACTTCCCATGATTGTATTTTCTGAAAGGGCAGAAGGCACAGTTCACTTCCTAGAATTTTCATCTTTAGCCATTGCCATGATTGGCTATCTCCTAGAACATTCTGATTGTTCTAAATTAGAAGCTATAAAACCTAAAGTTTACTAAGATACTTGATGCTTTTTGTTCTTGCAAAGCAACATATTTTGCTATTGTTATTAGTACCAGCTATCTCAGACACTGTCTGCTCCCCATGGGATATCGCATTCATTTTAAGTTGCTGTTCCTTAAAAGAACAAAAGATCAACATTAGTCACAACTGGCTCACTACAAAGTAGAGGTAAGGCCCAAATGTACATAAGTTCTGCAGATGGTTGTACATCTTCAGAGAGAGGTAACTGGTTAAAGCTATCCCAAGAACACAGGAGCTACTATCTTACTCAGTTTTCAGCTCCGGGTGGGTTTCTCCAATAATAGAAAGAATGAAATTTTGCTATTTGTCACTACACACTGAAGTCCCTGGGAGGTCTCTGCTTCCTCTGACCCAAATATAATATTATTTCACAAACTGGATTTTGTACCAATTAAAAAACTAGGCCAAATTAGAGGTTTTTATATGAAATAACGACTACTTAGAAGATTGCCAGTAAGTTAAAAATCAGACTACAGTTTATTCAAATTAAATGTATTAGACACATATTAAAGTGGGCACAAGCAGAAATGACCCACTGATAGAATCAAAATACGATGAAGGCAAAGAAAGAAAACTGTAAAGTAATGAGAGGGCAAGTTATGCCATGACACAGAGCTCAGAGATTCTCATTGTAATGGGATCTCAGCGTAACCCTTATAACCTGGTCCTGTGTTGTAAACAAGTACATAAGCCTACTAGAAGCTTATTTACATAAAGCACTGAAGCATCCTGGGAGAAAAACTCACTCTGAAGGAAGATTAAGTGACTACAAAAGGCTTGATCCAAAATCAAAGCCTTATTTGGCTGAGGAGAGGAATGATTCTGAGTAGTCTATGGTGGTGGTCATTCTAATTTATCTCTGACCTAGTGCCATAGACTCATATGTGGGTCCTAAAAAGAGAGAGTTTAAATAAAAACTGAGAAATGTTTCACCAATATCTTTACAAAATATCAAGGCATTAGCTTCCCTGCTTTGTGTAAGATGTTTATGCCAATGGAGGAGGAGTCAGAGTGCTAACACAGTTTTGGCCCCTTTCTGGTGCATTGGTTAGTAGTGGTCAGCATGTGCGCGAGAGAGCAAGAGTAAGAAAGCAAGAGAGCAAGAGAAACAGAGAGGAAGCACAGATGGAAGGGACATATTCATGGGCATATATGGGATATATTTCTAGAGACAAATTTCTGAAAATACAGAGAAGTACCTAAACCACAATCTCTAGGATTCTGGTGTTTCTGCTATGAAACTTAGCTAACCATTGGCAACTGAAAAGGCCTAAGGAATTCTTACAGAACATTTTATAGGTGTCTGAAAGTAGGGGCAAAATGCTATAAAATGTGAACCTCATTTGTATCAAGCCTGGGAAATTCAGGTTATACCTGGAACCACTCTTTTTTTCCTAAAGTTTTTACTTTATTTTTTCTAAAATCGAACAAAAAAAATGGGATACATGTGCAGAACATGTAGGTTTGTTACAAAGGTATACATGTGCCGTAGTGGTTTGCTGCACCTATTGACCCATCCTCTAAGTTCCCTTGCCTCAATCCCCATCCCCCAACAGGCCCTGGTGTGTGTTGTTCACCTGTGTACCATGTAGTCTCAATGTTCAACTCCCACTTATGAGTAAAAACATGTAGTATTTAGTTTTCTGTTTCTGTATTAGTTTGTTGAGGATGATGGCTTCCGGCTTCATCCATGTCCCTGCAAGGGACATGATTGCATTCCTTTTTATGGCTGCATAGTATTCCATGGTGTATATGTACCACAGTTTCTTTATCTAGTCTATTATTGATGAGCATTTGAGTTGGTTACCTGGAACCATTCTTGACAGCTTGTGAACAACCAGGGAAATTACTGATTATCTTTATGGTCTATAAAATTAAGATAACTTAATTGGCTATAACTAAGGACCTGATGCATAAAAAAACTATCCCCCACTCTGCCAAAATAATGCTCTAGACACAAACACTTTGCTGTAAAACATTTTAATGTATTATGGAGGAAAACACTTATTCTATAATACTAGAGAGACAGCATTAGGGGCTAGTCAGAGATACTATAGAAGACTTTTGGAATAAAGGAATCTCTGTTTGCTATTACGGCTAATTCTTCCAAATTTGGATTTTCCTTAGAGAAACTGAGGAAAGATCAACAATGCAGTTTCTTTTATCTGTTTTTTTCTTTATGTATGCATCTACACTAACTTACCTTAACACCAAATACAGTAAAGTCTGGACTAACTTATTTCTTAATGTATAGTACTTTAAGAAGTAATTTATTTCCATAGTACTTTAAGAAGTATAGTGCTCTATAGTGCTTTTTTCCTATAGTACTTACAACTGAGTAAGCTAATCTGTGGTGGAGGAATTTACGTTGTAGATATCCTAATTACATAATGTGTTATTTATAATGTACAATAACCAAAATGTTAAGATGTGACAATTAAAGTTAACTGGTCAATGGAAACTAGTAAATATATGAATATAACATAAATACTTCGGTGGGATTCAACTATTCGTTTGATCATCCAATAAATGATGTTTAAAAAATTGGGTAAAATATCCAGTTAAGCCTTTATCTCACTCCATGCATCAATACAAATGTCAGATAACTACAGTCAAATAAAAAAAAAAAAACCTCAAAAAATTATTTTAATAAATCAGTGAACAATTAACCTTAGACTAGGTAAGATATTCTATGTTTAAAAGTAACAGAAAAATAAAGGAAAAGATACAAAAGCTCTGTTAATACAACATATAAGGCTGGACACAGTGGCTCATGCCTGTAATCCTAGCATCCTGGGAGGCCAAGGCGGGCAGATCACAAGGTCAAGAGTTCGAGACCAGCCTGGCTAGCATGGTGAAACCCTGTCTCCACTAAAAACAAAAAATTAGCTGGGCACATTGGCACACACTTGTAGTCCCAGCTACTTGGGAGGCTGAGGCAGGAAAATGGCTAGAACCCAGGAGATGGAGATTGTAGTGAGCCAAGATTGTGCCACTGCACTCCAGCCTGGGCAAAAGAGTGAGACTCTGGCTAAAATAATAATAATAATACAACATATAAAAATTGTAAACAAAACTGAATGGCAAAAGACAAATAAGTGCAATGAAGAACAAAGGGTTAATGTTAATATGGAAAGAGCTTTTGTAAGTCAAAAGAAAAATACTAACACCATTATAGGAAAATGACAAACAATTATAAACCATCAATTCACAGAATAATGTGGCCAGTAAACAATAAATCTGGCTGGGAGCAGTGGCTCATGCCTGTAATCCCAGCACTTTGGGAGGCTGAAGCGGCTGGATCACTTGAGGTCAGGATTTTGAGACCAGCCTGGCCAACATGGTGAAACCCCATCTCTCCTAAAAAATACAAAAATTAGCCAAGCATAGTGGCAAGTGCTTGAAATTCCAGCTACTCTGGCAGGTAAGGCTTCACACAGAGGTGAAGCTTGCAGTGAGCCAAGATTGTGCCACTGCATTCCAGCCTGGGTGACAGAGTGAGACTCAAACTCAACAAATAAATAAATCTTAGTAATAGTCAATGAAAAGCAGTTATATCCAGATTCAAAAGTAAAGCCCTTTGCAGCTGGACCTCAATTCAAATCTTGGATCCGTCACTTAATATCTTTTTGACTTTCAGAAAAACTTTTTTCAGAAAATATTAAATGAAAATTTCTAGGCTGGGCACAGTGGTTCACACCTGTAATCCCAGCACTTTGGGAGGCTGAGGCAGGCAAATCATTTGAGGTCAGGAGCTTGAGACCAGCCTGGCCAACATGGTGATACCCCATCTCTACTAAACATGCAAAAATTAGCCAGGCAGGCTGGATGTGGTGGCTCACATCTGTAATCCCAAGCACTTTGGGATTCCGAGGTGGGTGGATCACTTGAGGTCACAAGTTCAAGACAAGCCTGGTCAACATGGTGAAACCCCTTCTCTACTAAAAATACAAAAAAATTAGCTGAGTGTGGTGGCAGGTGCCTGCAGTCCCAGCTACTTGAGAGGTTTGAGAAACTGAGGCAGGAGAATCACTTCAACCCAGGAGGCAGAGGTTGCAGTGAGCAGAGATCACACCACTGCACTCTAGCCTGGGAGACAGAGCGAGACTCCATCTCAAAAAAATAAATAAAATTGTAATCGCAGGAGGCAAAGGTTGCAGTGAGCCAAGATTGTGCTGCTGCATTCTAGCCTGGGCAATAGAGTGAGACTCTATCTCCAAAAAAGTTTAAATAAATGGAAAATTCCAGAAATGCTTCATAAGTTTTAAATTGTGTGCCATTTTGAGTACCACAATTATGAAATCTCACACTGTCCAGCTCCATCCTGCCGAGGATGTGAATCATCTCTTTGTCCAGCATTTTCACACTGTAGACGCTACCTGTCTGTTAGGAGCTTAGTGGTCACCTTGGTTATCAGATCAACTGTCATAGTATCATACTGCTTGCATTCAAGTAACCCTTATTCTACTTAACACTGGCACCAAAGCACAAAAGTAGTGATGCTGGCAATTTAGATATTCCAGAGAGAAGCCATAAAGTGTTTCCTTTAAGTGAAAAAGTAAAAGTTCATGACTTCACAGGAAAAGAAAAAAATAATCACATGCTGAGGTTGCTAAGATCTACAATAAGAATGAATCTGATATTCATGAAACTGTGAAGAAGGAAAAAAAATTGTTCATAGTATATACAGCATTTGGTACTATCTGTGGTTTCAGGTAACTGAAGGTCTTTGAAAATACACCCATGGACAAGGGGCAACTATTGTATGTACTTTCTGTAGGCAAATATGTACTTGATAAAAGGTAGCCATACTTATCTTAAAAGAAAGCAAGGCAGTACAATTTTTAACATTTCAAACAAGGGTTCAAGCGATTCTCCTGCCTCAGCCTCCCAAGTAGCTGGGATTACAGGTGCCCACCATCACGCCTGGCTAATTTTCTGTATTTTTAGTAGAGACAGAGTTTCACTGTGTTGGCCAGGCTGATCTCAAACTCCTGACCTCAGCTGATCCACCCACCTCGGCCTCCCAAAGTGCTGGGATTACAGGCATGAGCCACCACACCCAGGTGAACAGCCAGTTTTTTAAGAGTACAAAGTAATGCCAATCTTTACAAATATTTTATAAATTATAATATAGCATCTAATTGTTCATGTGCACAGTTAATTCAACTCAATACATTCAATAAGAGTTATCTAATTATCAAACAAATTCATCAAGTGCTGAATTTAAAATAACCAGGCTTAAACAAAGATTCTATCTAATAGATTTCTCCTTATTGAATGTGTATCCACTGAGTTTAGAACATATAATGTATAAGGTCACTTAAATGATTAGACTCCCCATCATCTTTACCAAGATTTAGTTTATCTTGACTATTCAGTTCATAAGAAAATGCTCCTGATTTAATATAAAGTAAATGAGGAACAATATAAAACTGTATAATTATAGCCTATTTTTTAAAAGCACAAAAATAGGTTCAAATAACAGATTAAAATATTAAAATGCTAACAGATGGACAACAGATTTTCATGTTATTTCTACCTTCTAAAACATTCTCCACAATGAACCATATTACTTTTATAATGAGAAAAAAAACTAATAAAATATTTTCTCCTCAACTAGATTTCTAAAGAGGTAGAAAGCAGCTGGAGATTTACAGTATCAATTATTTATATGAATATCTGTTGGAAGCACTTACATGTTTTCATTTGTAAAGGTCTCATGTCTCTTACCTCAACATAAACTCAGAAAGGAAATTATGTTTATTTTTTTCTCTAAGTCCTGACAATCCAAATTCCTATGCTCTGCAAAGAGGCATTGTATCTTCAGGGCCTAATCCAAAAAATATTTGTAAAAATGAATTCTCTGAAACTAATTTGTTAGGTCAACAACTTTTTCCTACCTCCCTATGCTAATGTTTGTTATGGTTGAACCCAGCAAATCAGTAAATACTGTCCCAACTGAAAAAAAAAATACATATTGTGCCTTGATATGTACTTTTACGTACAGGTTTTAATTTAATGTCATTTAAGTAAATCAAAATTCTTAGAATTTAAAAATATTACTGGTAATATTTCTTCAAAAAGTTCTAAATTTAAAAAATAAGTGATTTTGAAAGGGTTTCAACATTTTTATGTTTAATGTGTTTATAAGGACAAATGTATACTATACTTATTTTCATTGATCTTATCTATTTCCATCCACCCGTCTATCAATCAGTCGATCAAGACAGGTTCTCACTATGTTGCCTAGACTACCCTCAATCTCCCAGATTCATGCAATCCTCCCACCTCAGCCTCCCGAGTAGCAAGTGTGTGCCACCATACCCTTTTCTCTTTAGAATGGTTGATGGTAAACTTAGTAAACACAGACAGAGTTCAGTAATTCAGTAAAAGCAAAAATGTTACATTTAAAAGTTAATGGTACTCAGATTAGTTGCTACAAACCCACTTTCTAGGCCTTTAGATTTTTTTTCCCCACAGATTGAACAGACTTAATAGTCAGAATTAATTATGGGACTTTACTGATTAGTCAGGCTGCCCAAGGAAAAATGAGCTATTGGACAATGATAAATAACTAAGGCTTGCCTAGCTCAGTACCAAAATTTATTTAGACTAGTTTTAAAAGAAATATTTCTAAAATGTTTAAATGGCTTTCCTTCTTTTTAGGCAGAGTATATTATTCAACATAACTTAACCTTTAGGATGACTTAAGGATAGCATCACAGTATTTTAATTATGCAGAATGATACTTAGGAACCCAGAGTGATGCTTGTATTGTTTATCCATTCACTGGAAAGTTTCAGATCATCCTAGTCTCTGTTTTCTGTCTTTTTACCTCTTGCTACCTCTTCCCTTGCTGTCTACCTACTTGTTTCTAGCAGAACACTCATTTCCAATTGGTTTCCTAACCTACAGCAAATAAGAAACAACAAAGCAATCAAGTTTCATTCATTAAACATTCAGAGATGAAAAGTACAATCCCAGGCAGTCCCTGAAACATTCACAACTTAATTATACTACACAGCGTGCTATGGGAATCCAAAGGAGAAGCCTCTGACCCAGAGTCTGGGGATTTCAATGATGACTTCCTGGAGGAGCTAGTTCTTAAACTAAGACATGAATAATGAATAAATAGCATTTCATAAGCAAAAGAAAGTGAGAGAATTGGCAGAACAATCAAGTGCACAGACAGAAGAAATAGCATGGCAATAATAAAAATGATATCTCACGTTTATTAAAAACTTCTGTGAATTAACTTACTAAATCCACATACCAATGCTATGAGGCACAATTATTCCTATTTTACAGATAAGGAAACAGTGGCACAGAAAAAACTGTTTCATCCAAGGTCCACACCCAGTTAAGTGGCAAGGTCAGATTTGCAGTCTGGCTCTAAAGCTAACACTCTAAATCACCACACTATATTGCTTATCTGTGCAAAATTATGAAAGCAAGAGAGAATCCAGTGTTTTGAGCAATCTACTATGAGTACTTTACTAAGGTGGAAGATTGTACAGTGTCTGAATATTGTGGAAGATGAAGCTGAAACCAGATCTGAGGAGCCTTGTGTGCCAGGTACAGGTGTTTAGATTTTATCCCGTAGGCAGTAAAAGCCATACAGCAGAGGATTAGCAAGATCACACTGACTCTGATAAAGACTTTTATGGGATAAGAATAGAGAGAAACAACCAAAGGTTCAAAATTCAGGTAGGAGGCTATTCCAGAGCTCTATGTGAGGGATGAGGGATGATAAAGACCTCAACTAAAGCAATATAAGTGGTTCTTTTTTTCTTTTCTTTCTTTTCTTCTTCTTCTTTTTTCTTTTTTTTTTGGAGATGGAGTCACTCTCTTGCCCAGGCTGGAGTGCAATAGCAAGATCTCAGCTCACTGCAACCTCTACTTTCTGGATTCGAGCGATTCTCCTGTCTCAGCCTCCTGAGTAGCTGGGATACAGGCATGTGCCACCATGCCTGAGTAATTTTTGCATTTTTTTTAGTAGAGATGGGGTTTCACTATGTTGGCCAGGCTGGTCTCGAACTCCTGAACTCAGGTGATCCCCCTGCCTTGGTCTCCCAAAGTGTTAGGATTACAGGTGTGAGCCCCCACGCCCGGCCAGAAGTGGTTCTATTTAGGTATTTCCTGCTACTAATCCTATAGAAAAGATGAGAAAAACTAGAGAAAATTAGGATGTCAAATTCACAGAACTTATGACCAGAACAAAAAAAACTCGTGATAGGGAAAAAATGAAATAAAGTTGTAGCCAAAGCAGAAAACAGATTCTGAGAGCAGTGGAGGTGGTATAAAAGATTCATTTTAGACATAATTGAGGTGCTTGTGAAGTAACATTTTTTAAAAATCAGCTAACACTTACATTGAGCTTGCTACACGTGAGGCACTAGTCAAAGAAGTTTCCATGCATTGATCCACTGAATCATGAAGGCAACACTACGACGTATTAACTTCTTTTTATGTGAGGCATCTGAGAAGTTAAGCAATTTGCCTAGGGTCATGCAGCCATAAAGGGGCTGAGCTGGGATCTGAACCCAGGTATCCTGGTTCAGAGGGCTTCTGTCTTTAATAGAGACATGCCAATTGTATAAATCAGTTTGACACTCAAGAATTGTTTAAAGATAAGGATTTGGCGCCAGCTACCTCTGTTAATAGATAATAATAAAAACATAAGGATTTGGAAGTCGTCTATATACACAGATGGCAGCTGAAGCCTTAAGTATTGAGTTACATACAAAGTATGCACTCTATATCTCTAAGTGTGGTCCTTCAATCACTTAGGTAAGAATATCCTGAGGATGTTTATGTTTAATAAGCATACAGATTCCTGGG